CCCCAAAACCCCAAAACCCCAAAACCCCAAAACCCCATCTACTTAAACTATAATTGAAATTATTTAACCCGCTTCTTAGATGCCTTCCGAGCCTTCTCGTGGAAGGCAGCATGCCTGTCAGGACGTTTGTTAAATGTCTTCTTTTGCTTAGATTTAGACCTGACTTCTTCCTTCTGCTTCGACTCAACCTCAACATTTCTAATAAGGTCTTTATTTTTCATATTTTCAATATGATTCAAATTATTGATCTCATCGATCATCAAGTCATCAACAAGGAGTTCGAAAATAGTATCAAAATTAACAGCGACTTCTTCAAGAAAGTTGCCGAAGACGAGCTCTAATAGCTTGGGATTCTCACATGCGATCTCGTTGTTGACCTTTTTCCTCTTCCTTGCTTCTTTCTTCCTGAGCTTGACTACTGAATTATGGATCTCAGTGAGCATGTCAGCCATGATTCTCTGATGTTTCGAGAGAGCTAGTGGGTCTATACGGATGATATACAGGAATTACTCTTCCTTTTAGCCTCTATAGGTTAATACAGAATCATACTTGAACTAATAGTGGCCTTCCCTGGTTTCTTCGATGGCTTCTTAGGCTTAGGCTTGGCCTTCTCTTTCTTCTGTGGCTTGCTGCCTGGCTTCTGTTTGTCATCAATGTTTTGAGATGTTTTAGACTCCTCCTGATCTTCATTTCCTGAGAAGTCATCAGAGTAATCATCATCTAGGATTACAGGAAATTGCTTACCTCCTTCTAAAGTAACCTTTCTCTCTTCTTGGGATGAAATTTGATCGGGCCGAGGAGTTTTCCCAGAATTGTGAATTATTTGTTGTTTATTTTTGCGCTTAGGGTGCTCTTCTGGATGAGGAAGCCCCTCGCTTTCCTCTTCCTCGTCAGAGTAGTCCTCGTCATCATCATAGTCATGCACAGGTATTTGTTCTAAGTCGTATTGCACTTGTTTCTGAATTTCTTCAAGCATTGCAAACCGACTCTAAAATATGGTCATAAAATTTTTAAGAGAATTTTAAAGTCATTATCAGTTAGCAAGAATTAAAAAATAGTTGAATTTAATGCTTCTCCACCATACTTGCATAAAGATAAGACGGATCATTACTAAAAGCTTACATTAACCTGACCCTGATACGCGCTTGGATCCATTTAAATTTGAAATTTATAAAATAGTTGTGGGGTTTTGGGGTTTTGGGGTTTTGGGGTTTTGGGG